TCTAGAACTATAACTCTTTAAATTTATTTAAATTTTAGCTATTTATAAAAATCTTCGATTTTTATAAAATTTTATTAAGTAAATCGATTTGTATATTAAATAAAATATACTTTTCTAATCAAAATAGCCCTAGTTTCATAAACCCAAATTAGTGATTGTCTTAATATAATTTTGAGAAATAGCCTCTGAAATTATAACTCTTCAAATTTTTCTATTTATAAATAATTTCAAATCAAATCAAATATTTGATCTTACAATTTGAATTTGATTTGATTTGAAAATCGTTATTTAAATTTGATTTAAAATCAAATATTTGAATCAAATTAAATCAAATCAAATTAAATGCGGAACCCTACTAGTGGCCTGTTTAGTGAAGCAACTTGTCAGTACTCTTGCTTTGTCTAATTAACTAGCATCAGATAAAGCCTATTTTAGTAGTCACTATCAAAAGTTTGAACTACTTTTCTATGTAGTTCTTGCCAAACAGACATTCATCTTTCTAGTTCCTTGATATTATATAATTGTATAACTTATATATTACATGATCTTCTAATCTTGTTGATATTATCAAAGTTACAGAGATCCTATTCCAACTGATCATTAAAAGATAGTAGCAGTCATATAAGCAAAATTTTTGAATTTTTATTGTTAGTAGATTTCAAACTCCCAACTTGTTAACATATTGCTTAGATGTATAACAACCTAACTACTTTACTAAGTTTCTAAGAATATCAACTATCCCAGTATTACCATAAAAATTTTACTATCATGTGAGGATCTATAGTAGCTTATCCAATTGTAAACCTCGCTTTGATATAATATTACACAATCAGAAAGATCAAAACAAAACCCTTGCTTTTTAAAAAATTGCTTATTTCTCAAAAATTTGCATAAGAAACCACTTTTTGCACTTTAACAAAAAAATTTTACTATATACCAACTAATATTTAATGCTATAAAAAGTACTAACCCTAACTTAAATAAATTTACAAACTATCATGTGATAGTAAAATTTTTATAGTAATACTGAGGAAGATGAGAATATTTTTCAATATTTGTAAAGTTTATTGTATGATATAGTATCCCTACAGAGATATTTCTTATTTGTAGTGAAAAAACAGGACCTGCAATGACAAAGTAGTAACCTCTGCTCTACAAAACATAAAAAAGAAAAATTAGATGAATCAGAATTAGGAAAAGAAACTTTGGAGCAATTAATAGCAGAAGAGGCAAATAAAGAAGAAAAGATTAATCAACCTTCTAAAATAGTTGTAGACCTCCCTGTTGTCCTCACTAAGGTTGCCATCACAAAGCCTAAATATATCATCCATAAGAAAGTTCAAGAAGATGAACTTCCTCTAATTGCATCTTTGGTTTTTCTTACTCAATTGTTGCAGATATTTGGAATAAGCCTACTAATATTACTTAAGCCAAATATTTCATCTCGTTCCTGGGTTACAAGTAGAATTGGGTTGGAGTTTACAAAAAAAAAGGCTCTTACTAAAAGAAAAGTAAAAACAAATATTAGCATTAGTACTGAAAAAAAATCTATCACCTTTTACTGTGATGCCCAGATTCTAGATATAACCATTCTCTTAATCGTTGATAGCAATTCATCAGGAAGTATCATTTTGTCTTATCTCCTATGGGATCTAGGTATCAAGATCGAATGTTCACTCTATAGTAAATATAATTAACATTTATAAAAAAACAAAAGGGCTTTAGGAGAAATATCCAACTTCTTTTTTAATATTTGAGGAATGGAGATCTCTATTATGTTGTCATCACCAATACCAGGTTATATCAAGCTATTGTCAAAAATGATTAGCTTTCTAAAGCTCAAGCTAAAATTAATTGAGGAGCTTCAGAAATGGCTCTTACTTGAAAAGGTAAGAAACTTACTCTTCTTGTAGAATTCAAAAAGATCACTCATGTTCTTCTTAAAAACAACTATCCTATTATGGTCTGCGATGTTGACAAGGAAGCTAAAGAAGAATAAGTTAAAGAAGAGTTGAAAGATAGTGACAAGGAATATAAAGAAAAGAAATTAGAAGATCAGATCTATAGATATTCTGAAATAGATTAGAATAAAACACCTAATTGCTTATCTTTATCTAGTTTTTCTGAAACTCCAATTTTAGATTTCTCTATTGACATATATTATTCTTTTCTTAATTCACCCTTTTACCTCTATTCACTAATAATAAAGATACTAATATTCTACTACTAAATATACTAGCATTCCATACGAGCTACCTCATCTTTTTTCAAATTAATATTCAAGATCTCTTACCTTCTACCTTTTCGGCTAAACCTTCTATAAATGTTTGTTTGCCATTAATCCAAGTTGAGGACTGTCAATATAGAGAAATTCTTGTTCCTCCTTCTGATTTAAATAATCTACCTTTATTAGTTTGCTATAACCCAATTCAGATAGTTCTAGTAATGGTGAGTGGTAATCATATCTGGACTTTAGCACATCAAAGGTTGAGACAGAAAGTTTTGACTCTAATGCAGATGATGTTATTGATAAAGAGAATCAGAAAGCAAAAATAAGAAATGAAAAAATAAGCTCTCTAATATCAACTGTTGTTATGATGAAGCTAAAAATGCTTATCTAAAAGAGAACAATGTCCAA